ACTAAATGTGAATGAATGGAAATACCATGTTTTGGCCTACATAGATTTTTGACATCATAAAAAGGTAATTTCTCTTTAAATTGATTAATGAGGGCTGAGGATATAGCTCATCAACACAGAGTCTGCCTGATAAGTGCAAGGTTTTGAGTGTGATTCTCAGTACAAAAAAAAAAAAAAAAAAGACTAACAATACTGATAAAATCTTACCACTGGAACCAGGCATGGTGGCACCTATAATCCAAGCACTGTGGAGGCTGAGACAGGATTACCATGAGTTTGAGGCCAGCCTGGGCTATAAAGTGAGTTACATAGTGAAATCCTGTCTCAACAAAATAAAAAAAAAAAAAAAAAAGAGACAACCAACCAAACTACTGGATCTGGAAAGTCTGACCTGAAATTCAATTGAAAAAATACAATTAAACAGGAAAAATGGAAGAACAGGCGGATCTTTTAGTTGTATATGTTAGCTTTGTGTAGCTGTGATAGAATCACTAAGGTAAACAACTTACAGGAAGGAAATTTTATTTTGGCTTGCAGGTTCAGAGGTTTCAGTCCATGGTGAGCTGACGCTGTTGTTTTTGGGCCTGTGGTGAGGCAGCACGTCGTGGCAAAGAGCACATGGTGGAGCAGAGCTGCTCATCTATAGTGGCCAGGAAGCAGAGAGGAAGAGGCCAGGATCCCAATATCCCCTTTAAGGGCACATCCTCAGTAACCTAACTTCTTTCCACTAGGCCCCACCTTCCAAAGGTACCATTACCGTCTAATAGTGCTACAGGTTGGAACCTGTATTTGGCCATTGAAGGACATTTAAGATCCATACCATAACAGCCAATCAGAGAGTAAAGCTTTCCTCAAAATTCCATGATTCAGACAATGTCGTATTGCTATGAATAGATCAATAAGTGGATGGAGTTAAAAGTCCAAAAAGGCCACCAAAACATGGGAATTAATGTATCATAAAGTTCACATATTACATCAGGAAAGAAAATTGATGAAGTATGTGTGTGGTCTTGGAGGTTATTTTAAATAACTATTTATTTAATTATTTATTTGATACAGGGTCTTGCTGTGCAGTTTAGAGTCATAGTGAGCCTCCTGTCTGAGCCTCCCCAGTGCTGGTATTACAGGTGTGCACCACCATGCCCGGTTTCGGGACCTGCATGGTGTGCAGTGTTGGGGATCAAACTCGCATCCTTGTACTTACTAGTCAGGCACTTAGCCTGCTGAGCTATCTCCCCAGCCCTGGTATTGGAGATTAATCCAGGGCCTCTTGCAGGCTAGGCAAGTGTTCTACCATTGAGCTACATCCCGGCCCTTTTATTTTAATGGTAGACAAGGTTTATTAAAGGTAAGGGGAAAAAAGGCTCTACAGAGCAAGTAAAGGCTATATATATATATATATACCCCCCACAGCATGAGGGTGAGCCAACATGCAAAAGAGAAGACAGTGGACATTCCTTTTACCTTGAGATAGGTTCTCCCTAAGTTTCCCAGCTGATCCTCCTACTTCAGACTCCAGGATAGCTGGGATTATAGACATGAACCACTGCTCCCAAAAAGAGGGACTTGGGTAAAAAGTGTTAGGACAGTCAAGATGCCGTTAGATGAATCAATACTTCGATTCACATACTGAGAACTCCAAATGATCAAATGTTTTAAGTGTTTCAAACAAGAAACATAATAGCAAAGTTGAAAAATGTAGGTGAAGCTGAGAATCATGCTGTATACCTGTGATCCCCGCACTTGGAAGGCTAAGGCAAAAGGAGAGGATCACATTGAGTTTGAGGCCAGCCTGGACTACATAAGTGAGTTCAAGACCGGCCTTCACTACATAATGAGATCTCAAAAACAAAAACAAAAAAAAAAAAAAAAGATGATGTAAGTGAATTCCTTATAATTGTAAGGTAGAGCAGCTTTTATAAAGATTCAAAAATGTACAAGCTTTGAAAGAAAAGATTAATAAAATACATTAAAAAATGCATGGCAAAATAAATACCTATATGAATAAGGTACAGTAAATTAGGAAAATCTCAGATGTATAGAAATCAAAAATATTGGTGGTAAGATTGGGCAACAGGCATACTAGGGTAGGCGTGCAGAGTGGTACAGTTTTTATGTGATTTTGCAACTTGTCATTTATATAGATGCATTGTGTTTGGGCTATTTCTGTGACCCCGACCTACAGAAACAGCAGTGGCACACTTTCAAAACATGTTGATTTGTTGTGGCATTATTCTTTTTCTTTTTTTGGTGGAACTGGGGATTGAACATAGGCCCTTGTGCTTGCCAGGGAAGCACTTATTCATAACACTGAGCCATCTCCCCAGCCCCTGTGGCATTATTCTTGAAAAAAACAGAAAAAATACAGGTGTCTGTAAGGAATTGGTTCAATACATCCTAGGACTCAACGATTAGAAAAAATTAAGTAGCAGGAATATACATAATGTTACATCTTATGTAAGAAAAGAGACAGGCCTATTGGCACACAGGAGGATCACCATGAGTTCAAGGCTAGCCTGGACTACGTAAGCAAATTTAAAGCCAGCCTGTACTAGTTAGTGAAATCCTGCCTAAAAAAAAAGGAAAAAGTATTGTTTAAAGAATCATAATTATTGTTTAAAAAGTGGAGAATAAATAGAACAGAAACAGGTTGGAATAAGTCATCTGTATATCTGTCTACGGAGCTGGGGGAATAGCTCGGCAGCCTCAGTGCCTGCCTGGCAAGTACAGGGACCCACATTTGATTCCTGGTACCACATGCTGTGCCAGCCACCTAAATCAGGCATGGTGGTACATGTCTGTAATCCCAGCACTGGGGAGGCTGAGACAGGAGGATCACTACAAGCCTGAGCTGAGTAGCAAGACCCTATACCAAATAAATAAATAAATATAAATAAATAAATAAGAGTCTTTAAAATTTAATAATATCTATCTATAAATATTTTTTTCCTGACTGGTTTAACCAGTGTTAGACATATTACAAAATGATAAGCCATTGGTGGTATAATCTCAGCCTAAATAAGGAAAAATAGCCAAAATATAATCCAGTTGTGTATAAGGATAATGTAAACAACATTTCAAAACAGGATGAAAATGAGACTATTGTAAGTAGAGCTATCTGAATTATAATGTAAAAGAAAATTGTCTTTTATATATAAATGGCCAGAAAATAGAACAGAGCACTGTCATATCTTGAAAGACTGGTGTGTTTTTTGCTTCTGATTTTAATGTTGAATTCAGATTGTTAGATATTGGGGCCAGGGAGATGGCTCAGTAGAATAAGTGCTTGCCTGGCAAGCACAAGGGCCTGAGTTCAATCCTCAATTCTGGAAAAAAAAAAAAAATTAGATTGTTAAATATTTACCTTAATGAGGTGGACATAGTGGCATACCCTCATAATCCCAGGACTCAAGAGGCTGAGGCAGGAGATCACACAAGTTCAAGGTCATTTTGGGCTACACAATGAGTTCAAGGTCATCTTAAACTAGATCGTGAGACCCTGTCTCAAGAACGAAACCAGGGCCGGGGAGATAGCTCTGTAGAATATGTGCTTGCCGGGCAAGCGCAAGGGCTTGAGTTCAATCCCGGTTCCACCAAAAAAAAAAAAAAAAAAAGACTAAGGAAAAAAAGCCAGACTTGGCAGTGCATACCTGTAATTGCAACACTCAAGAGACTGAGGCAGGAGGATCACCATGAGTTTGAGGTCAGGCTCAGCTACATGCAAAGTCCCTGTTCCCTGCCCAAAAAAGTCACTACTTTAAAAATATACATTTATATCAGTGATTGACAGATCAAGATCTTTAATATATAAAATTATTACTTTCATAAAATTAAAAGATAAGTGTTTATTATTGTTTTTCATAATGAAAAATTAAACAATGAGACATAATCCTTATACCTCCTAAATAGTTTTAAATTTCATACTGGTAAATGGGTTAAAATTGATATTTACATTATGATAATTATATTAAAATTGGTACACCTTTGGAAAATAGTATAGTAGGTCATGTCAAGAGCTGTCACACAAATCGCCCTAGGCTTTAGCGCAACATTTTCATTATAAAGGAATAATTAAAAAGAAGGAAATCTGTTGGTATAAAATTGCTGAATCCTGAAGAGATTTACATTCTACAGCCACGTCTAAGTGATTGTTTTAAAGCCTTCATTCTCCATCAGTTCTTCAGAGTTAGGAGTTCCTTGTCAGCCTGTCTGTTCAGAGAAGGCTTTTTTCTGGCTACCTAGTGTTAATCATTCTATTTTATTTTGAAGTTTGATATTAATATAGAAAAGCCTATATATCTTTAGTGTACAACTCAGATTTTTATAAAATGTATGTACTCATTTATTACCCCAAATTACTGTTCCAGGTGCCCCAGAATCCTCCTTATACAGATTTTCAGTCACTAGTCCCCTTTATTGCCTCAAAAATACTGTTTATCTTTAATATCGTAGTTTCATTTTATCGGTCATAGTAATCACTTCAGTAGCCAAATACTAATCACTTGTGTGAACATCCTGTACTTTCATTAATTTTGGTGATTTGAATTAAAGTTTTTCCTTGTATATAGGGTCTTGCACTATTATCAGTGCTATAATATTGTAAAGTAATGTAATAAGAGTCTTGAAGATTATGAGCAGTGCCCTTCTTTATGTATGTCCTTCATCCTTAACTTCATGTTTTACACAGAATCTAAGATCAGTAAGAACTTGAATAATTATTGCCTCTTGAGAAATATGTGAAATCTTTCAGTGCAATTCCATTTATTTTATTTTCCCATAAAAGTAAAAATAGGACTGTTTGTTCACAGTGTAGGAGGGTAGGGAGCTTTATCGCTCATCTATCCCATCCTCAAAAAAATAAGAATGTAAGAAGTTGATTGTTATCTTACAGTCCTTAGAGTTTCTTTCAAGGTTATTTCAGAAGAATTTATTTTGATTTTTTTCTGCTTGGTGTTGTCATATTCCTGAAAAGTTACTACATTCTCTCTCTGTTTCAATAGTTAATGACAGCAGTCCTGCAGGTGAAGATCTTCATAAGGAAGATTGTAGAGAAAAGTCTTCAGATAGTGATGGGATGGACAGTCTCTTGGTTTCTGAGCAACCTCCAGGTTGCCAAGAAGAAAAAGTAAATACCTCTATTCCACAGCAAAGGAAATTGAGAAATCTTTTAGTTACTATTAAAAATGATACTCCACTGGAGGAACTTTCAAAATATGTGGACATCAATGTTATTGCACTTACTCGAAATCAGAGAACAAGGAGGTGGTATACTTGTCCACTATGTGGGAAACAATTTAATGAAAGTTCTTACCTTATTTCCCACCAGAGGACTCACACTGGAGAGAAACCATATGACTGTAGCCACTGTGGGAAAAGCTTCAATCATAAAACAAACCTCAATAAACATGAGCGAATTCATACAGGAGAGAAGCCTTATTCCTGTTCTCAGTGTGGGAAAAACTTTCGTCAGAATTCTCATCGAAGTCGTCATGAAGGAATCCATGTAAGAGAGAAGATATTTAAGTGTCCAGAATGTGGGAAAACCTTCCCAAAGAATGAAGAGCTTGTGCTTCATCTGCAGAGTCATGAGGCCAAGAGACCATATAGTTGCAGAAACTGTGGAAGAAGATTTGGTCGACTATCCAACTGCACCCGGCATGAGAAAACCCACTCGGCCTGTAAGACCCGAAAGCACAAGTGAGATTACAGCAGGTCCTACTGCAGCCCAAAAAGTTCTGTAAGGAATTCTGAATTCCTAGGCTGCCTAAAAAGATGAGAAAACCTTACAAGAATCAAAGTTGAGACGAATACCCATGTTGGCTAAAACCTCAAATTCTTAACAGGTTCCCAGGAAAGGAAACATCCTCAAGGGCTATATATCTGTTAACATCCAGGCTTTTGGGAAAAAGAGCTTTTTGATGAAGTTGTACAACAGCATATAAATTGCAAATCCATTTTCCAAGAAGACTTTAAATGTGAGTTAGGCTTGGGGCTGCTTACCTGCATTTCTATTGAAGTAGACCACACACAGGAATTTACACTTGAGAAAGGAGAAATGGCACCAAGGTTTTTTATCTACAACTGTGTTCCTCTCAAAGAACCAAATTACTGATTTGTTAGGCCAACAGCTTCTAATAGCAATTTATGTAACCCTCTGAATGCCCTGATAAGGTTTGAGTTTTGAATTGTTTACTTGGGAATGTAGGAAAACTGCAGCTTTTGAATGTCAGAGACTTAATGCTCGTTTGTATGTAACCTAAAATACCTTATCAATTTGAATAACATTTGTAATTTATGGTGAAAATTAGCTGTTTTACAGAAATCCTTTTCATACCATAAATGTATCTGCTGTTCTTTCTGTATTTTGTTCCGGTGTTAATCTCTCAGACAGCTGTCTTGTGCCTCTTCATTGCCAAGAGTTTTGGATCACTTAGGTCTGGTCATCCAGTCCCACTGTTGGACAGTTCTTGTCCCTCTGTTCAGCCAAGACTTCACCTGCTAGGAAAGAACCCTCAGGAACCTGAGCAGGAGGGTTTAACCTGAATGCAGGAAAACATTGGCTTGGATCCATGGCTAAACAATAGCATTACGTATGCTTTAATTCCCCTTTATGGCTCATCAAACTTTTGGCAATGGAGTGGTCACTACCTTACTAGTTTTAAGAAATGATGTGTCATGATTAGCTCACATTATCCCACAGGAAACATGATTCCTAGTGTCTCCATTATAATGGATGGTTGGTGGTTTTGGCCTCTTCATAACCAGACCCTCCTGTGCTCTCTGCCTAGTGGTAGAGCCAGTGGTGCCATCACACTATCCCTCCTGTGCTGCAGTTAGGGATTCTTGGTCAATTTGCTTGATTTTGTTTCCTGAAGTCTTACATTGGTATTTTGGTTTGAAGGGATTCATCCTATAAACTATTTGAGAAAGTTTATTCATGTTTAAAGATTTTGTTTCCCATCCAAAAACATGCTTTTTTACATTATTACAGTGTTATATAACTGGGTAAATTTTTCTATTTTTTCTCATTTAAGTTCTGTGCAATTTTATTGTAAATCGCTTTTCCCATTATATTTTTCTAGTTGCCTATTCTTACACAGAAAAGTTTTTTAAAAATATATTTGTGTAACTAGCCATCTTACTGGATGTTCTTAATTTTCGTTAGTTCTCAGTTTTGTTTGGGATAAAAGTGTTACCTAAACTGCACATCTGTAATCCCAGCACTTGGGAGGTTGAGTGAGGAGAATCACTGAAAAGTTCCAAGACCAGGCAGGGCTACATAGTTCAAAGCCAGCCTGAACTACGTAGTGATACATCGTTTCAAAAAACAAAAACATAAGTGTACCTCTACAGAGAATAGTTTTATTTCTTCCTTTCTGCCTACTGGGTTTTATTTTTTAAACAAATTCTGTGTTATATAAAGTACAGTTTTCTGAAATGATATTTTACGATTCACTTCAACTCTAAATCATAATTTAAAAAAATAAAAACCACAACACAAGAGGAACAGCAGAAGAACACAATTGGTGATGACTGTATTTCCATTGAGCAATGCCTTTTAAGACGAGGCCAAAACTGGCAGCCTACAGCGCAGTTCTCTTGTTCTTTGGAAGTCTCCACAAACTGAGGCAGGGGCTCCAGGACCTTATTGAAGTGACATGTCATTGTCACCTGTGTAGGACCCACCTATGTGTGCAGCTTTGACAAAGGGTAGGGTGGGGGTGTCCCTGGGGAGGAAGCTATGTCCTCTGCCATCAGTGTGATCCCCAAATCAAGTATAGTTCACATTTGGATGGGTAATGCTACCATGATCCAACCTTTCATACCAGGGATGGGGCCTGTTGCTAGGTGGTAGCTGATTGGCACCTGCTGTGCCCAAGAGCTCTATAGGAGGTCCTCCTCCCTGGACTCCAAAGACGAGTGTGGTGATGAAGGGTTACCCCCAAACATCAGAGCCTCTGGGAAGAGTAAGTACTCAGAAGCACATTATCAGTTAAGTGGAAAAAAACAATAAACAGTTCCCCAGTGTAGCAGTAAGAGCTCACTTTAGAATATGCAAACAAAGATCCAAAGCCAGGCATGGTGGCAAACACCTGTAATCCCAATACTTGGGAGACTGGGGTAGGAAAATTTCTGAGTTTGAGGCAACCCAGACTACATAATGAGACACAAAAGATACAATTCCAGGAGCAACTACAAGTCAAAAATTCTCTTAAAAAGTGGCCCACTGAATGTATTGAGGGGCTGGGTGGGGAAGGGAAAAATTGGCAAGGATTCATTCAAGAAAAGTGTCAAGTTGGCTTTCTGAGAAGGTGCTGGAAAAGTGATAAGTAGCCCCTAGACTAGAAAGGTGATGTCTTTGTTACTTTTCTTGTTGCTGAAACAAAATACTTGAGACCCAAAGTCAAAGAAATGTTTTAGTTCACAGTCTATATAGAGGTTTCTGTCCATAATCAGCTGGCTTCAAGAAAGCTGCCTTGGCAGAGGATCCTTGCAGAAGAGGAACAGTTTATGGCAAGGCAGGAGGCAGCACATAGCAGCAGGAAGTCTGCTTTCCCTCTCTCCCTTTATACATATTCCATCCAGGCTGGTGCCACTCACATCCAGGATAGGACTTCCATTATCCACACCTAGAACTCTGCTAAACCCATTGGTTATCACACACTTTTTAAAAAGTATTTAGCACAGGGTCTCACTACACATATCGAGTAGTGATCCTCCTGTTTTCAGCCTCCAAAGTGCTGGGATTACAGGTGCGCACCACCATACCCAATCTGTCATCACACACTTTTAATCCCAGTGTCACACATCCTAGATCGAACCATCTCTGAAAAGTCCCACCTATGAAGGGCATAGGGATGGGAGAAACAGGCCAAGAACTATTTAAACATAAATAGCTAAGACATAGGAAAGTATTTGGGCTTATTAGTAACCTAAGGATTATAAATTGAAAATATGATGCCATTTTAGGTGTGTGTGAGTGTGTAAAATGCCCAGCTTGGGCCGGGGAGATAGCTCAGTGGTTTAAGTGCTCACCTAGCAAGCACAAGGTCCTGACTTTGATCCCTGGTACCAAAAAAAAAAAAGTGCCCAGCTTGGTGAGATACCCAACAGAAACATCTGCCCTCATTATAAAAAGAATGTTAGAAATATTATGGTCCTTTCACTCAGACATTCATCTTCTTTGTACAAGGACAGCATTAGGTACAGCACTAATAGATTATAAAATAGTTAAACATGATAGACTTTTGTGCTTTAGAATTTTACTTTTTGTATGGTTCATGTTTGCAGTACATGATTATATTCCTTGTGGGGAGTTAGTACATGTACATAATAGTCCTTTCTTTTTTTTATTATCCCCTTTTCTTCCTACACCCTCTATCACTTGATCCCATTCTCTTTTGCAACAGACCTATGACCCTATTTCTTACCATCTTTTATTTTGTTCTTTATGTTTTGGGTTTCTTATACAAAAGAAACATCTGATAGTTAAACGTGTGTATTGCATTTATTTCACTAACATTACGATCTCAAAGTGTATCCATTTTCCTACAAATCGCTCGTTTAACCTCTGTAGCAGAGCAGTACTCCATTATGTATACATGCCACACTTTATCCCTTTACTTGTTGATGGACGTATAGACTGCTTCCAGGATTTCACTATTATGAGTTATGCGGCTACAAACCTGAGTGTGAATCTTTCATTGTTAATATGATGTCTTTAACTTTCCAAAATATAACTAGGTAACTAGAAGGTGAGTAGCTGAGTCAATAAAATTTGTAGTTTTAGATTTTTGAGAAATTTCTATACTGATTTCCATAATGGCTGTACTAGTTCACATTCTCACCAACACTGTAAAAGTGTTTCCCTACTCCTATCCTCTCCAGCATGTTTTGACTGGGTTTGTTTGTTTGTTTGTTTGTTTTATTTTTTGAGACAGGGTCTCCCTATGCAGTTCAGGCTAGCCTTAAACCCGGGTTAGCCTCAAGCTTATAGTGAGCCTCCTGCCTCAAGCTCCTAAATGCTGGGATTACAGATACACACTTTCATGCCTGGCTATTTTAATTTCTTGATAGCTTTTCTAGAGTAAGGCAGAATCTCAGTGTTATCAGAAGCTCCGTCTACAAGTGGCTTTCCAAATAAATATTTCAGGGTTCTGTATTATTTGTCTCTCCTTCTGGAGTTGGATTCTAAGACCTTTTCAACTGGAATAAAGAGTTAAAATGAACAAAGCACAATCTCAGTGTTATCAGAAGCTCCTTCTACAAGTGGCCTGCCAAATAAACATTTCAGGGTTTTGTATTATTTGTCTCTCCTTCTGGAGTTGGATTCTAGGACATTTTCAATGGGAACAAAGAATTAAAATGAACAAAAAGCATTGGAGGGGCCAGCCAAATAGCTCAGCAGATTAGGGGCCAGGGTTTCAATCCCTGGGCCTGCTGTGCTGGCCCCACCCCTGCCCCCAGGGCATGCTGAGACAGCCATTGAGACTGGGCGTGGTGGCATGCACCTGTGATCCCAGCTTTTGGGAGGCTGTAAACAGGCGGTCTGATCTAGTAGACCCTGGGCACCCTGTAGACCTGTCCCTAAAATAAAAAGCAGTGTAAAAATTTATTTGAAAAGTAAAAGTGAAGAGTGAGGGAGATACTGCCTATGCAGAGAAAGTTTGGGCAGAGGAAAAAGCAAGATAAAAAGAGCACCATGGAGAAAGCAGGAAGGGCTATCATAAGGAAAGCCATAATAGCAAACTCTTGGTGTCTGTGTCATTTCCTACTGTCCAAATTTTGAGGAAACCTGTGAGAACATAAATAGGTGTGTCCTGAGAGGCTGTGCTGGTACCCCGCACCTCAAGCCAACATCAACTCTCAACAGTCCTATTGAAAACTTGCTTAAATTCTCATGAGAAGTCCACACACAGGACTTTGGAAACTATACCATGCATGTTTTCCAGGATTTTGTAATTACCAGGCCATGCCTGCTTCCCTAGCCAGCTTTGCTATGTCTAATCTATCTTAGAATAACCTGAAGGGCTTAAAAAAATTATGGGAGACTCCAAGCACACATTAAGCCAGTGAAATCACAATCTGATGGGATGCAGTTGTCAGCATTTTTTAAAGGCTCTGTTAAAAAATTACTCAACCAAAAAGAGCACAAGAAAAAAAAAATTAACAATACTCCATAAGCGAAAGGCCATTATGGTAGGTAAAGAGACATTCTAATAGAGCTACATCCTAGGAGCAGAATAGAGTTCAGTGGATGGAAAAGTTAGTATGAAGAAGTACCCATGGTAAAAGGATTATAGC